TTATCCGGACTTGAAGTCCGGTCGATCTTGTCCGGATAACAAGTCCGGTCAACCTAACACTTGAAATTTAGTTAACATCTTTGTCCGGATAAGAAATCCGGACAATACTTCACTTATAATCTTGACCGGTTTAAATTAAACCAGACAATACATGTTTCAACCTTTGACCGGTTTAAAACAATTCGGTTAATACACCACCCAATCTTTTGAACGGTTTACATGATATCCGGTCACCTCTTGGCCGGTTTAGTAAAGACTCCAGACAAGGCATGAGCGGTTTATTTATCTGGATATCAATCCGGACACCACTTGAACGGTTTAAACAAGAACATACATAATATGAAGCCGAATTCATAATAACCAGTTCCAAATGMTTATCAAATTGTATGTAAACAATTCATATCCAAAGCTCTAATACACTCACCTTTAGGAATCGATTATCAAGGCTTTTGAAATCCTTTTCCGGTGCAATCCTTCTGATTCTTCAGAGAAAACTTCTAAATATAGTATGTATGTGTGTACCTATTCTTCTCCAAAAATTTATATATACATACAAAAAGAAGGAGAGGTGATAGGCGGCTCATCTAGCCGACCTCCCCCCTTTGTTATTTAAAACAAATAATTTTAAATTAACACCAGAAAAAAAAATATTACACACATACATACATACCCATATATATATATATATATATGTATAAACTTGAAATATAACCAGAATATTACAGTAGGGTTATAAACACCAAAACGTTTATCACAAATTGTAGCATAAAAACATATTCTGCTTTGGTCCATCGGTCCACTGCTTAAAAATCAATACTTAGAAAATTTGACGCCAAGAGGTCTAGAGCCCCTCTGGTTCTTCTTCCAGAGCTTCTGGACAATACATGCACGCTCAACCAGAGCTTCTGGAATTGCGCGTAAGACCATCCAGAGCCTCTCCGGACTAGCGCCCAAAGCCATCCAGAGCCCCTCTGGACTATTATAAGGAAGTTCGCTAAGTATAAAACATTTGAAAACTCTTTTAGATTTATGACCAGAGCTTCTGGTTCCTCAATCCAGAACCTCTGGTTCAAAACCAAAATATTTATAAAAGGCTTTAAGTTTAACAAGAGCCTCTAGTTCCTCAATCCATAGCTTCCAATCTAAAATCAAGACCAACCAAAGCTCGTCTGGTCTATTTTTCGTAAAAAGAGTCCAAGTATAAAAACTCTCAAAATGATTTTTATAAAAGAAGTTTAATACAGAGCTCTTATTTAGAAGATGCAGAGCCTCTGTATGCGGAAGCCTTATTTTAAAAGCAGAGCTCTATATCTAGCGGATACAGAGCCTTTGCACAAAAACCCAATTTTTAATGCAGAGCTATGTATTTAACAAATACAGAGCTTCTGTGTGATAGACCAATTTTTGATACAGAGCTTCTGATTTTCACAACCGACTATGCAAAAACAGTTGCATTGTTTTCAAACACTAGCCAGACCCTTCTGGTTCTTTAAAATAAATACCAACCAAAGCCCTCTAGTTCCTTGACAGGTATACCCAGAGCCTTTGTGGTAC